TCTGTCAGGGAGAGTCTATATAGAGCGTTTCTATTATGAACTTTAAGAAGAGACTTTAGTTGGCCTATCAGATACTAGATATTCGAATGATGAGCTTGCGTACGAATATATCTAGCATTTTGAGCGCCAAAGTCGACAAACACAGATAGAAGCTCATCGTATCCTTTTTTGTAATGAATATATAAGCCATTTTACGCGAGAGATCCTTGAATTCTGCGAATTCAACCTTATTTACGTCTTTGCGCTTCCTCTATATACTTCTCACGTTCTTCAACCATTTAACGTTATTCTATTTTAGCTATACAAGCACTAGCACGCCTAGGCAGTAGATCAAGCAACTTGAAAAGGATATAACAAATTTGATAAGCTAGAATTTCTTAAAGCTATTCAAAGTATTTGCTAAATAACGTTTAAAAGAAGCTCTATTCTTAATAGATTTTGAGAATGCAGACTTGTTCCTTATAATCTAAATATTATACTAAATAAGATCCAAGAATATCAATCTCCTACGCCTCCAAATCGACTATCTACTCCTCCTGACACTCAAATCTGGCCTCCTGTTACACCTCTAACAGCTCAATCTCTTAAAAAGCAAGCTATTCAGCTACAAAACGCAACTCTAAGTCGTCAAACAGTGTTACAAGAGAAATTCATTAAGGGGGCTCTGATTCAGGCTAAAACTGCTGTACAAATCCAGAAGGATTTATCAGAATATATAGCAGCTAAAAGAGAACGAAGAGAATAAAGATGTAGAGGGCAACGTCAGCTACAAACTTAATAGATCTTATTAGCAAAATCAGAAATAGAAATAAGTTTAGCTAACTTTTATAAAGTTGTTTTATTAATTAATAATTTATAATTATGTTTAACTAATATTCTGTATCTAATAGTACTAATATTATTAATCTTTTTCTCCCCTTCCTAATACTAATATTAATTAGAAATAAAGCCTTAAAATTACTCTTTACTATTGTAATAAGGATTCTTATAACTTCTTTATTAATTACGCTATTAAGCCTGCTTATAATGTCTTAGTAACAAGTAGCTCTTTTCTTAATTACTCTTGTGCCTAAGAGTAATCCTTTATATAGTGTCCTAGTTTCTTATAATAATAGCACCTTATTATAAATATATCTCTTAAAAGTTGTAGCTTAGCTACTAGTCTTTTCTTCTTTGTTATTAATTTGCTAACTTTGTTATTAATTTATTAATAGATTAATAAGTGCTAGAAATTAAAGGTTTTGCTAGTATACTAGTACTAGCTGCTAGTTTATTTAATATTATATGTTAATTATTTATATTAGCGTATATTAGGTTAGTAATTATTTCCTAAATTAATATATATCTATAAAGAATAATTATTTACTTCAGATTATCTCAAACCTTATCTTAAAGATCTATAATCTGGTTCTCTTCTTAGACTTTTACTTTATAAGAAAGCTATTAGAAGTCCCTTAGAAAGGTAGTAAGGTCTTGTTGCCTTTGCCGTAAGTAATAGTATTCCTAATAAGTAGTCTCCTGCTAAAACAAGAAGTCAAAGTAATTTATTATATCTATAAAGATATCTGAAATCTAGGCCCTTTTAAAGTCTTTAAAGTAGGACCTAAGTAATTTACAAGTGTCACTACTAGTACGTAACTGCACATAGGCGACCTTAGATAATTCCGTTAGAAAAAGTGCTGCGTTAACTATAAACTTTATCTTTATAGCTGACAACTAGGAGCGGAACTTCTGAGGAGGCCTGTCCTTAAATACCTTTAGGTGAGGCAGCTTCTCTGTCTTTATACTAAGCACTATTATAGGGCTTAGAGTTGCTTCTAATGAGACTTGCCCTTAAGGCGGCGATTCTTGTTCTGTCAGAGTTGCTAAAAGAGACTTTACTTAGACTTGCGGCTTTAGTATTACTGTAACCTTGTTACAAAGATTCTAAATAATCTCTTCTTTATTATAGAGTTAATCTTTTAGTAACTTAATCTTAATACTAATGCCTCTATTAAAGTCTTAGTATCTTTCTTTCTAAGTTTCCTTTTCTTAAAGAGCTTCTTAATACTTAGCCTTCTTCTTTAAGCAAAAGACTTTTTCTTCCTTATAAGTAACTATTAATATTAGTATAAACGCTACTATATATATCTGATTCTTGTTGACAAGTACTATAAAGGCTAGAAGAGCTAATAGGTTATCTGTCACTCTCTCTACGTGCTTAATTAATATATGCAGGGCGTCTTAATCTATAGAAGGGGCTTTGTCTAGGCTCTGCCTCTGGTTGCTTAAGGAAGAATAGCGAACTTCGCTACTCTCCCTTCTCTTTGTTTGATCACGAACCATCTTGACTTGATAGTTCTCAAACCTTTGTATAGTATAGAGTGTTTATATCGAACAGACCTTGCGTTACTCCCGGAGTAACGACTTTCTTATATAGTCAAATAACTCTAGATGGGTTCTCTAATAGCTGTACTACAGATAAGAGAGTTTTGTATCGTCTCTTAGGATAGCAAGTAAGTATTAAGCTTTCGTTTACTGCAATAGCTCAAAACTAGAATAAGTTAATAGTCTATAGATTGCTAAAACGAAAGCTAGAGAATCTATCTATAATGTGGCCATACACAGATTCATATACTCCAACGCCAGCGAGTGAGGCCTGTGTATACATGGGCCATGCCATAGGCTACAGAGCATTTATAGTTCCTAATCCGGCCTCCTGCTATATAGTAAAGTTTAGGCTTCCCTAATCAGGTAAGGCGAACCTCTCTATTCGTAATCCGTCCAGATAGCTCACACGCTTTAACAAGCGCCCTACAGCAGGAGTTTGCTTGCTGCCGCAAGTCAGTCATAGGCGTTGCCTCCTAAGTATGTGGCTAGCACATGCATTTCCTGTGCCATGGCAGAGGAAATGTATCATCCATTACAGTAATCAACTTATGTTATTAGCTTATATCTAAGTTAAAGACATCTTAGTATTATTTATTATACTTTCTATTCTACCTAACTAACCCTTTAGACCTAGCTTTTAGTTAAGACTTATCTTAATCAGTTAAGCCCTAATATTAAATAGCTTGCTTTTTAAGTGCTTAAGCAATTAAAGATATTATAAAAGGTGAAATTTTATTCTTAAAAGATATAAAAGATTAAGGAGAAGAAAGAGATTAATATTCCTTAATTTTTTCAAGCATAATTTGTAAATTATACAGAATAAGTTTATATTCACAAAATAAGGAAAAAATAAAGTTCTTTTTAAAAGTTAATTAACGAATTCTATAGATAGCTATAAGAAATTCAAGCTTATTAAATTTATTACATCTTATATAGGTTACTTAATCTATAGCCTAAGCATGCTAGTACTTATATAGCTAAAATAATACTATATTAAGTAGTTAAAGAAAATAAGTAATATACAGAGGGAATATAAAGATATAGATATTCTAGAGTTCACAGAATTTAAGGATCTCTTATATTAAATAGCTCTTATAACTATTATATAGAAGGATTTAATATATACTAACTCTTATATATTAACTTTAACGCTTAAAATGCTAAATATATACGTAAGAAAGCTTATTATTAGTATATCTAGTATCTGATATATTTATTAAGATCTTATTCTTAAGATCTTAATAAAAACACTCTAAATAAATCTTGCTTAACAGAATAAATATTAGTTTAATAATAACTCTTACTATACTAACTACCTTTATAACTATTATATATTCGTGATTATTATCTAAAATTAAATAATACTACTTTAAATATAAAGAGATTATTATCTATTATAATTTCCTTACTCTTATTTAAAAGCTTATTTTATTAAAATTCTAAATATCTTTATCAAAAATATTATATGCCTCTTAAAATGCTTAAAAGCACTTAAATTAGTTTTAAACTATATTAGGATTATAAGCAAGCTTTCTCTTAAGCTCTAAGGGCTTCTGCTTTGCTTTATAAAGCTTAAGATGTCAATTTAAGAAGCGTTAAGCCTAACAGTAGCCTACAACAGGTGTAAGGCTATTCTTTGTAGGGTCCTCCTTGAGCCTCTCATTTGCTATCTTGCTGACATAGTCATAGCCCCTCGAATGCCCTATCTCATCCAAAGATAGGATATATCGCAAAAGCGCTTGCTCCTGTACCTCTGACAGCTTGTAATTTGTTGGTTTCGACTCGTAACAAGGCCCTACCCCTTTTAATCGCTGTTGAACGCGATATCTGCTCACTTGATGCTCTCGCGCAATTTGTGCAACAACAGGGAACTCCCCTGCCTCGCGTTCTGCAAGAATCTCTTGTACAGCCTTTTCTACGCGCTCATCTATATCCTCATTCGAATCGGCCATACTGTGGTGGAGCTATACGCAGAAGAATACACCCTATTTGGAAGAAAATCAAGATGGGCGTTACGCTGATATGGGCGTTATAGTGAGAGCCACGCGCTGCGCGCGGGCTTGTAGGGGGGGTACCCCCCTGCAAGTGGGGCCCTGTTAGGGCTCCACCCATTGGGCCACGGCTAAGTGTTAAGACAAATTTATTTCTTTATCTTGGCAAGCTATTTCTTAGCGTGGTTGACTGCTTAAAAGGCACGACTCTGTACGTCCATTTTGACGAGTCAAGATTCTAAAATTAATTACTTTTCGGTTTAGCTGTTCTGTACAGACAACGTTTCGGTTTCAAACAAGGATACAAGCGCTGAACTAACGATATCTCACAACACCCTGCAGTGATAGAGCGAACGAGTTGACACCCAGAATTTGGCGTCAAGGCTAGCAATATGACTCGACGTTTATCAGCCGCACACGTGCCATGCTCCCACAAGGCGACGACTGAGATCAGAGGGCAAATGCACGTGTCTTGTGCATAAGGTATGATTTGCATGCTTGGTAAGGCGCTCTCAACGGTTACTATGTTCCCTTGCAACCTTTAAGGGCTGTCCACCTCTGGCTTGATATCAAGCTCTCTTGATATCTAAGGTTAATTATACTTAACATGACTCCACAATCTAGTGGCACTGCTTGAAAATGTTCGGGACCCCACCGTCAGCCCATCCCTTCGAATCCAAGGCGCGTCGCAGATCACAGAAGGCCTCCATCTCGAGACGGTATACAGACAGTGAGCAGGGCTCTACAAAGTCTCACTCGTTCAGCCCCAGTTCGGATGACACGTTATCTCGGCCATCATCCATCACGTCTCAAAGACCTAACGATTACGCATCGGATATTGTCACCTCTCCTACAAGCATTTGCGAACTCGAATCCCCTGAGCCACTTACTTTCCACCAAGAACTGGTTACCCTGAGTATCTCGACCAAGTCTCGTAGCCTGTCCTCCGGATTTCCCTACAATGACGACCTCTTCAGCTGGGGACTCCCCCCAACCAAGTGGAGCACATTCACGCAAGAGATTGAGAAGGCGGTAAGGAAGGATGCGGTCGAAAACGCCAACGGAGATATCTTCGCACCCTGGATCATTGGTGGGCGTGTTTCGGAGACTCTTAGTCGTTGGCACAGAGATCTGTTTACCCCCTTAGGGTTGGAGGTAAGCTTGAAGCTGCCATCCGTCGCTGATGCTGGAGAAAGCAAGCAAGACGAAGGCGTCGAACAGACAAAGAATGACTGCCGAAAAAAAGGCATACTGGCCAACCTGGGTTGGAAGAGGGACGTGCCTGAAGGCCGAAAGTTTCGAATCATCCTGAAGCATGCCCGTCCCATGAGCGGAGACCAGGCTCGGATTGGTGCGCCGAGACCAGTGTCGGAATTGGAAGAACAAGATGCCATCCCCGCAGGCCGGAGAAAGTTAGACTTAGTAGCGGATCTCCCCGTGGGAGGCAAGGGGCACGAGGTCGAGCTGGAGGCAACCGAAGTACTTTTGAAACCAACGTCCTCATCCATTCGAGATATCCCAGAACTATCTTATCTTTCAGTCAACGATGGGAGGGTGCAATCATGGTCTAGTATGGGTTCCTAATATAAGCGGATGTCACCTGGGGAGTCTCAGCAGGAATGAAAAACAAAAAATGACGACTTTCTGAACGCGATGCTGGCGACGACTTTTCTGGGCACCTTCGAGCATTCCCAAGCTCCGCTCATGAGAATCTATCGACCAATGAATAGCTTGCTTCCACTTCAACCACTTGAAGTGGGGACGTTATCTTACGAATCACTGTATGAAGCCGAGCAAACGATCATCTGGCAACGAGTGGAATCCGTCAGAAGAGAGGCTAAGGCCCACATGACACCGGTCACTGTTCTTTTCATAAAGTGGCTCCTTAATGGAGGTCTTTACCGTTGCAGGCTCGATGATGCCCACCATCTCATTGGAATCGTAGCAGATGAAGGATGATGACTCCTGTTCGGTCTTCTTTTTTCTTCAAGATACAATTTAATGGGAGTTTGATTTGATTTGATTCTTACTCCGATGCGGTCCTGCCCTAGGGGTGGTCCATGCGGGAAACTATCAACTCTAATTGTTGAAGATATATACATGAGGAAACCTTTTAAGGGAAAAAACCTCATAGCCAATCTTGTTCTCTTTGTCTTCGCTTCGCTGGCGTTTCGACGGTGTAGTGCTCTAAGCGGCTGTGATTGCTATTTTTTGAACGTTGCATCTTGTAACGCTTGATCAACCAGTAACAGTGGGCTGCAACGGCCTAAAAGGCCACTGTTTTGTTGAGTGCGTTGTCGGTCTGAGTGGGCAACTGCCCCTTGATGCTCGTAGGTCTTATCTGTAGCCGCTTTGTTGTCCTTCGCCTGCGACTCGCCTGTCGTACGTAGGTGAGTCGCCATCATTGCCTCTATTCCATCTGACGCCTGAGATTAGAGTCTCTCCTAAGTCGTTATCCACGCGCCCCTGACGCAGTCCGCCACCATCTTCCTCCCTGTTAGGAATCTTGATAGCCATCCGGCTCTGCCTGCAGCTCAATAACACCAAATATAGTAGGGATCAACATCCCCCTCCAGAGTGCCTGTGACACAGTCGTAAGATATAGAATACCTCCTAAGTGACTCTTTTTATGCTTGTGTATTGTTCGTTCTCTGCTCGCGCTTTGTTGATGTCATTCATAATAGGGATTCCGTTAAATGTTGCTAAGACTAGGCTCCCTGAGCAGGTGATAACAGTCTAGTGTATTGTGGTTCTGGCCCCTGGCGACAAATGGGACAACCGAAGCCCCAAGGAGCTTCTTTCGCTCTTCGAGACTGCGGAGAGATGAGGTGCGGAGGGCGGATGACATCTTGCTGCAAGATGTCAAAAATGTGTTGTTTGAGAAAGAATGACCGAATATGAATGTGACGTAGAAGCGTGCTCGAGCTCGATATCGTGGAATTACTGTGGGTTGAGCTGGTGGTGGTGTAGAGTGTCCCCAGAAATTAGCAGGAGTGTTTGCAGGGCTGAAGACGCCTTTGTGAGTACCTGAGACCTGGAAGTGTTCTGCCGAGACAGAGAAAGCTCTCCTGCTGAGCAGAAGGTTCGTAGCCGACACTATTTAATGGGAGTTATGTGGAGATAGCCAAAAATAATATAATGAATGCAGAGGCCAAAACATATAAACAAGGCAGGGCAGCTCTGGATAGGGATCAACTTGAATTCATCCAAGTGATATTGTTACCTTGGAAAGACACTATCAGGATATCATATAACATACTTTCCCTCCCATCCTTTAAGATAGTTTTTAGTCGACACAACTACCCTTGATCCACACAGCGCCAAAACAGAGTACAAGTACTGACCATGGAGATTGCTATGTCTAGCTACCGCCATCATCAATAAAACCATGCAGACTATATTGCCCAATTTCGAAAATGAAGAGAAGAAAGATATCGCGGGTCGGCCTCCCACCAAAACACCGAGAGGACAAAACCGCCTTCCCTGACTCTGTCCGTGCTGGACATGCATCGCAGAGACTGTGCAAAACACAACGACGCTCAAGTTACTTCTTGAAGTCAGAAGGATGATTTACGAACGGCTAAACTTATTACTCTTACAGTAATACATGCCCTCTCATCGGCCTTAGCTGCGACAATATGATCTGTCGGAGCTTTCGGCAGCGTGTCATAGCCTCTTCTCAGATTTTCTCCCCGTTCTGCACAAGACCGTTGATCTCAAATTCGCTGCCGGTGCCACTATATGTCCGTGGTTGCCGACAGCCATGAGTGGTATCTCAGCTGGCGTCCGATATATGCGGTATTTGATGATCAGCGCATACGCAGGTTCTCATTCTTTGGAACTTCCGTACAGCGGAGCAAATCCAAAATTCGCCGACTCGTGGGTACTTTCTGATCGAGCCAGGGTCTTGAATATGGTTGTCGACGGGCTACTGAGACACCTTCGACCTGGTCCGCTGACATCCTTGAGTAAGTGAGCATCTGATACGCCATTAATCCTGTTGCTGGTATCGGTATGCTCTTCTCGTGTCGTAGCCAGAATGTAGACGGGGAAAGCGCCAGATTCTAGCGATACAACCGGTTCCATGACAACCGATTGAAGATCTACGAAGTCTGGTTCCGCAATTCGAATGTATACCGCCCTACTGGTTGGGTTGGATGGGTCGATCAACCGGCAGAGGCTACATTGGCTTAGGAGTCGAACAACAACGAGAGGCGATGCCAGAAAAGGGGAAGAACAAAACAGCGCTCTGTCGAAATGGGCAAAGCAGTGGGCATGGTGACTGAAGATATACGGTCTTTAGTGCTCGCGAAATGCCTCATACTCGAACGCCAACGGGTTCTCAAACCGCATTGCCCATTTGGGTAGGGCGGGTACTCCCTCGGAAGGGCAATGACATCGAACCCCCTTGGTGAAATGTGCCATCAGCTTAGTCAAAGCGGCAGCCAAACCTAGCATGCCTGTAAAACATTTCAGATTTCAAAGCTTCACGCAACCTCTCACAGCCCATCTAGATAGTGGATATCTGTTTATTGGGACGAATCTCAGAATCCCAGAGTGTTATCGACCAAACGGAAGGATCTCCATATGTCTAAAAGGGATAAATGACTTTTTCACTCCCCACTACTATTACCTCCTTGCTTTGATATCTACCCTATCGCCGTTAGCCCACATATCCCCTTCAAGTAGTTATTTAAACCAACTCTGCACCCATGCAAATTCGCGGCAGTCAACTTCAAATCCTCAGTCCACGGCCTCGCGTCTCTACTCTCTAACCCCTAAAACTCCTGCGCCTTCCTCACTAGCATATAAGAAGCCTCCGCCAACGCCAGCTGCTGACCCGGGCAGATACGCGGCCCACCACCAAATGGCTGATACTCCCACGTTGGACGAACGGGTTCCCAGCACTCCGGCTCGAAGGCTTCGGCGTTTCACCCCAGAGATCGCGATGTCGGTGCAGGGCGTAGGTGTTGGTGACTACTTTGTTGCCGGCGCGCACGAGAACAGGTGCGGTGCCCTTGCTTCCGCCGCCGAGGGGAAGGATGGTGTCATTGTAGGCGATGCGGGTGTTTTTTTTGGGACGACGGGGTGGAGGCGAAGTGCTCAAAGTAGGAAGGAGCTGTTAGTAGTGAAGTAAAGTGAGAGTGGTTTTGGAGGTACTTTCAATGAGAGCGTATCGCATGTATTTCATTGACCTGAGGAGATCGTACGTGATGGCTGCAGAGCCACTGGCAAGGACTTCCTTACGGAGCTTTTCCCATTTATCTTGATGCGTGGAGAGAAGCAGAAAGGCTTTGCTTAGCGTGATGGTGGTAGTATTGTGTACTGCCAGGAAGATGTGTAGGATTTGGTTGCGAAGTTCAATGCGATCACCTGTCTGCTTCGCCATTCCGTATAAAGAACGTAGCTTTTCTCTTCTACATCATCAGGATTTGACCTTTTTTAATTGCGAAGGCCTTGCGAAATTAGAATGCTTTATTCACATAAGTTTCGGCAAATATGTGAGCTATCTTGCAAGCCTCTTCCCACTTTGGATTGTAATAAAGAACGCTGGGCTTTCCCACTATTCAATCTCTTCAATGCGCCGTTCTGTGCCAAATGGAAAGCTTCAAGGAATTTCTGCGCCTCGGTCGTTGTGTCTTCAGAGAGCATGTTGACCGATTCCCTAAACAACAGCTCTGTGAAGGAACCCAGGAACTAGAAAACAATCAATGATGCTGGAAGACTACAAGTCTGTGTGGTGGTCGATACTGACTAAGTTATGAAGTGTAGCTTGCAGATCAATTGTAGATCCATCTTGAGAGATGATATTGATCAGCTTCTTCAGATGCAGTTCAAACCTTCCCACATTGGCAAGGTCCGCTTTTTGAACGTAGGACAGAGCTCGTCGGAATTGAAAATTCCTCGCCCAGTGAAAGGCTCCATTGAGGGAGTCTGAAAAGCTCTATTCCATAATCCTTGAAATTCGAAGCCCAAATTGTTTAAATGTTCCGTGACTCGATCGTATTCATCGCTGTCGCACCTAGAGTGGTAGAAGAATAGGCATTGCCATAAATGTCATAACGTTGTTTGAGGTCTTCCACGAGTCGGTATTCCTTGGCCAATTGAACCGTCTTGGCAAAGAGATCCAATCCAATTATAGCATCTTTCTGAGGCATATAGCCAGCTGGCTGGTAACCATGTTCTCTGATGAGGTTCGAGCGGGCGAGATACAATTAGATGACTTGAAAAGCGTAATGAGCCCCCACAAGGCCTTCCGTCAGCAGTATAGAATTGAGTTATGATGCAACATGATGACGAATAAAACATGGGAGATGACAGATATGACTCCTAGCAGAGACAGGAAGTGGTTGATATATATCACACACTAAATGTAGACAGATGAAGTCTTGCAAGTTAAGAGAAATGGAAGATGGGCATTTCGCTTACCAGCACAGCGAAAACAGATCCTTTCATATCAGACCGTGACTTAAGGGACGAGTCACTGCCGCATTTCGCCATTGTGCTCCCATAATAATGCGGCAACGAGCTGTTGGACCTCACCCCGGGCTTGATCGCAAACATCAAGCAAAGCGATGTCTTCAGCGTCCATTATGCTTCTGGAACTGCATATACAATTGGGCGTTCACTGATCCGGCATTTTCCTTGCTACGAGGTCTCGAATGCGACAAGGATCGGCTCCTAGCTTTTGATGCTGAGGAACAATGATATTCTCCTGTGGTTTGCCGTTTGCATCCCACCATTGCCTCTCAGTAAATAATTTCCTCATGCCAAGGCGTCACTCCGCTTTGGCCCGGAGGCCCAAAGCTTGGTGCCGAAATTTACGGGACTTCTCAATTTTGTGGTAATGATAAAGTAACTTAATTGATTATTATACTCTAATTAAATATATTATTAAGCTCAAAATTATTATAAAAAGAATCTTTAATAATTTAAATTAAGATTCTAGTAATATAATCTTATCACAAAATTGAGAAGTCCCACAAATTTCGGCACCAAGCTTCAGCCCGAGCCAAGCCCTAGAACTAACCAGTTTGAGAGCTTGGCGCAAAAAAAGACACGAGACATTGAAATGCGGCACATCTGCTATGCATTCTCAGTGTTTATATTTCTCGCAGGTTGCAAGGTCCATCAATGACCCAGTCTGACTTACCGACCCACCAAATGTCTCAAGCTCCGGACTGACTGACTGACAGAGTGGTGCAGACCACAACTTTAGCTGCTCTCGAGAACTGGGTGCCAGCATTCCCTGAGCATTCACTGGCAAAGGGCCATCCTGCTGTATCACAAGATATGAAGAACATCCGACCATTCACTCCGATGGTCATAGGCCTTTTACCCAACCAGCAATTGCACCCTTGTCTGAATACACAACAGTGTCTGCCAATGTTTTTGTGCGACTTAAACGTCTATCCACAATCCAAACCCATTCAAGCATGAGCAACCATGCAGGCATTCAATTCTCCGCATCCTGTTGTGAATTACCATTGTGTACTACACTGTTGCGAGCCTGCCGATCTTGACTCGTGTTGCCATCATCCACTCGAGAATATAAAATGTGTCAAGCAGAAGTGATCATGGCGGAACACACATGTCTGGGTATACTCACTTCTCTTTCCTGGCGTGATGATTTTCTTCAAATTCTTTGGGCTCATTGCTGTGACCACCGTTGCAGTGGCACAGACTCCTAACAATGCTTTACAGGTAGCAAACTCGGGAGGAAATGCTAGTTCGCCCTTACAATATGGCCTTATGTTCGAGGTGCGAATGTCGAAGCAGTTGAGCTTCTTTCTACTCACCTAACCTTAGGATATTAATCATTCGGGTGACGGCGGAATCTATGCCGAGCTCATCCGGAACCGCGCCTTCCAAGGAAGCGATTTCTTTCCGTCTAGCTTGACTGGCTGGGGGGCTTCAAAGGGCGCCACACTCTCGCTTGACACGAACAGTCCTCTTTCTGCTGCTCTACCGACATCAGTGAGGATTATCGCGGGAGATACTGGGGTGGTAAGTCTGGTGAACGAAGGATGGTGGGGAATCGAAGTCAAGCCACAGACGTATACCGGCTCTTTTTACGTCAACGGAGCATATGAGGGTCAATTCGTGACATCCTTGCAGTCAACAACAACGGGCAGCACATTAGCACTTACAAACCTCACCTCAAGATCTGTCGCCGACGCCTGGACGCAGCATACTTTTACATTGAATCCCACAAACGCTGCCTCTGATACCAACAACACCTTCTCAATAGCTTATGATGCTGCTGGTGCCGATGATCCTCTTAACTTCAATCTAATCAGTCTCTTCCCTCCAACGTACAACAATCGTCCAAATGGTATGAGAGTCGACCTGATGAATGTGCTGAAAGACATGGCGCCATCTTTCCTCAGATTTCCTGGAGGCAACAATCTGGAAGGAGATGATCCTCCCCACAGATGGATATGGAATGAGACCATTGGTCCACTGGTGAACAGACCCGGCCGACCCGGCGTCTGGGGTTATGAGAACACAGACGGCCTTGGCCTAATCGAGTATCTCTGGTGGTGCCAAGACTTGAACATGGAGCCAAGTAAGTCTCCTCTTTCAATGATTTCCGCTGGCTAACATGGCAGTCCTGGATGTCTGGGCTGGGTTGTATCTCGACGGTCCAGTCATCTCGGAAGCTGATCTCGCGCCATATGTACAGGATGTCCTAAACGAGCTGGAATTCATTATGGGTCGGCTACCCAGATCCAATAATGCAAATCAAATATGTCGAAATTGGCAATGAAGACAACCTGGGAGGTGGCCTGCCCTCTTACCAGGGATACCGCTTCGCCGCTTTCTATAATGCTATCAAGGAGAGGTACCCTGACATGAACGTCCTCGCGTCCACAGTGGATATCACCCTTTCAGAAGACGCCATAGGAGATTATCACACCTATTCAAACCCTGACGCTCTGATTTTCCAGTTCAACCAATTTGATCATGGCACTTCCGAGCATAAGACCTTGGTCTCGGAGTACGCTAACATCCAACCTAATGCCACGCAACAGCCACGGATGCCGTTCCCAAACTGGGCTGGCACTGTCGCTGAGGCCGTATATCTGATTGGAGTGAGCATTAGCATGGACTTTACCCACGTATTACATACTAATGAAGCCAGTTGGAGAGAAATTCTCATGCCACGCTGGGGGCCGCTTACGCTCCCCTGTTCCAGAACTTGAACTCTTATCAATGGACAGTATGTTTCTGACCCAGCAACTCTGCACCATACTAGATTACTAACAAATCAAAAGCCGGACCTTATCTCTTTCACCGCTGACCCATCGCAAACCGTCCTCTCAACCAGCTACGAGCAAATCAAAGTACGCACCCATCACATCCCTACCAAACTACCCACTAACCGACAACCCGCCTAGCTCTTCTCCAACACCCGCTTCACAACAACTCTCCCAATAACCACCACAACCCCCTTCGGCCCCGCCTACTTCGTCGCCGGCAAAAATGAGGCTACAAACTCCTACTTCCTCAAAGCCGCCGTCTTTGACAGGCAGAACCCCACAGCGGCAGCGGACGTACCTTTCACCGTCATCTTTGAAGGTGTTGAAGCCGGGGCAAGCGCTACGCTGACTGTCCTTAATGCGACGAGTCCGGAGGCGATGAATATGTCTGGTGGTGAACAGGTGGTAAGGAGGGATGTGAGTATGCTAATGGCGGAGAAAGATGGAAGGTTAAGCTTCAGACTGCCTGGGCTGAGTGTTGCGCTTTTGGAGGTCAAGGTTTAGACTCAAAGAGTCACATCAACTAAATGAAAATAATAACAAAGGCTATTCACCGACTTTGGTAACTAGTAATAGCTAAATGATTATGTTCTGCATAGGAGAATGTACATCTAAAACCGTTAACAGTCATATTAATTCTCATTTTCATTCTCATTCAATTTTACATCCTCTTGATGAAGATGGCCATTCATCCAAGAGCTGGGCTATGACATCGTTGTCATACTGCCCAAATTGAGCGACGAAGCAACGGAGTCGTGCAGTGTAAATGAAAGGAATAGCTTTTTCAACAGGTACAAATCTTCCACCACCAGGACAATTCACAGATGCTTTAGTTCCATTTTTTGATGCATTGCATTATAAGCAATCCTACGGTTAAGCTAACTCTAGGAGCACTTTGATGGCTCCCCTATAAGCAACTGTGCCCAGCTTCCCCCCTTGGCCCCAAGATTAAAACCCAGCCATACACCCCACCCCCAACTACATTTACTACGGTAGGAGGCATAATGTTTGTCA